CCTCAACATTCCCAAGACACCACAGACACCCCGAAAACCAGAACAACGAAAGAGGATTAAAACAGCAAAGACGTTCACTTTCTAAGAAAGTAGTATTTTCAACAAAATAATTCATGTACTGTAGGAAAGTAGGATAGATAGATATGATGAACATTGATTATTATTTATTAAACATCTTATGTATTGTTAATAAGTACGTGGGTTAGAATTGGTCTTCAGCAACCCATGCTTGCCGTAAGAGGCGACTATACTTGTGGTAAGAGTCGACTAACAGGATCGGGTGGTCAGGCTCGCTGACTTGGCTTTGATGCATGTCATCGTATCCCAATTGCGTGGAGCGATGCTCATGCTGTCAATCACTGGATTGTCTGGTCCAGACTCGATTATTTACAGACCGCCGTCATATAGCTGGAATATTGCTGACTGTGACGCTAAACAACAAACAAACAAACATTTTTTACATTGTCTGTTTTTACTTTTACGTCCGCCTTGTTGGATAAAGAACAAAACCTTTACGGCCTATTAGATATTTTTTACCCTGTTACTTGTACTCATTTTTGTTTGTTTTTGGGGTTTTTTCTATTTATGTGTACGCCAGTTGATATTCTCACGATCTTACCAAACTGAGAAAGACATGTTTTATTGACTGCACTGTATTTTTAAATTCCCGGACGTCTGATGAAACCTCCCGGACGTTTCCGGATGTCTAATGAAACATCCCGGACGTTTCCGGAAGCCCCCGGACGTTCCCGGGCGTCCCCGGACGTTAAATAGTAGGACCCCAAAATAGTGTTAATTTTATAGCATAATATATTCATTATAGTGTCTTCAGTTGCCGCACCCCCCTACCTCCGGGACATCTCTGTGATTGACGTCCAAGGTCTGCATCAAATTGGGCCGTTGGTTCTCGCAAAAGTCTCCAAGACACATCTGCGCAGATAGGGTGATACGTGTACCCGATCCGGTTTCCTTGTGTTACGTTTCTCTCTCGATAGAATAAACCTTGGCATGATTGTTTGAGTTTATTATGATTTTTTCCGGGTTCTCCCAGACGAGTATCTGATTGGAGGATGCATTCACTTGTCTGTAGAGACTTCCGTTTTTTATCTGGAAGTCGCCGTTAGACGCAGCCCGATCTTGATGTCCTGATCCCCTAATCCATTCACCTCTGCTTTGGGCTTTGTGTTTTGTGCTTTTGTGTTATTGTGTAGTGGCTCGACGGATGTCGTCGATCGTTCCCCTTCTCGCTTAACCTATCTAGTATTCAATCACCGAGACAGTGATTGTACCCGGCTTCATGTGTTTTCCTCTGTTCCCGTATCAGGGACTCAACACTCTTTGGGAGTGGTTCATCCCAATCCACGATCTTTGCCTTATGACACTAGACAGTGTTACTAAATATGGTTTTGTATCTATCACTGTTGGTTCCAGCTTTCTCGTGTGTATTCTACTTTTTTTGTCTTAATAGACTACGGAGTTGTGCCCCACCTTCCAACCATGGAAGGATAAGTTTACAGCTACTTATTCTATCTCACACGCTATATGCCTACCCGTCTATCCCCGCATCACAATTCCTCCAGCTTTAGAAAGCCGGGGAGACCACGTGTTCAACGTGTGGGGGTCAACCGGAAGGAAAAACAAGCATGACCCAGATTGCTGGGAGGTGGCCTTGGTGATGCTTTGTGTTTTGGTGACATATTTTTATCTAATAATCTGGAAACCTTTTTAAGGCACGTTTCCACTTTGGATCGAAAGTAGACAGAGAAATGCATAGTGTGAGATACGATAAGAATTAGAAATATTCAATTCATTGTAAAATTTACTACTTACGGTACGAACTGAGTACAAACCTGTTATTAAATACAATGCAGTCCTTACTGGACCTATGAATTGGTGTCATTTACATATACTTAGCAATCACGCCATTTCATACTTTAATGTAACAGAAGGAAACTAACTCCACCGTCTTAGTGCTACATGCTGCAACAACGAGCACATCACAGACGGATGTGAAATGACGATTGTTTCATGACGAAATAGTCCCCTCATATAAATAGGGACACTAGTCATTTTGTATTGATTTGTGATCTTGTTTCTTAGATCGATGTAGAAGGAGTAGAGGTAATTTCATTAAAATGATACCTTTCGTGGTGATTCTGGTTCGAATGGGTTTCAAGCAAACTTTGTTTGGCATACACGGCGTCTTAATGCATTGCGTGGTCGGGCTCGGTGGCCATTGTGGATTGCGTGTCATTGTTCTCCGAAGTGTATCGTTGTTCATAATATCAGTCACAGGTTGAGTATTGAGTATTAATCGGATGGTTTACCAGCAGTAGTTAGGTGTATCAGAGTAATCACGTTCAGGTTCATTTTCCCCAAAACTAATTTATTCCTGATTTGCACGAAAAGATCATTGATTTGTAATGGCCGTATTGTGTTGTCATTTTGCAAATATTCGAATATATCAAACATTGACACGGAATTAATACTACAATCCATACTGATACAAACACTATGTGTTCAGCCTCCTTGACAAGATTTACTAAAACGTTTATGGCAATACGTTAGACACACAGTACAAGGTCGTATGCCAAGTATCAAAGACAGTGTTGACTTAATCTCACAGGGTTGTAGTGCAGGGAAAATAACTCTGTTGCCACCAGTGATGCGTCGCGCACATCTGTGTACTGCTTACTGTCTGATACAAACAAAGCGTTGTCAGCGTTACACCAAGTAACTATGCCTTAGTTGGAATATAAACCACCAGCAGGGTTAACTCATGCAGATCCCTCACCGTTCTTGTATCGTGAAGGAAGAGGGGCTACAATTAGGTAACAGTATGTAATTGGTACTTAAAATTGTTGTTCTCAATCACCATTTTGTATGTTGTAGTATAACACAGAGGGCATGAAATGAAGTGCTTCAAAGAAGTTGATTACAGCGTCATCCTTCAAACTGTGTCTGTATAATACAAGGCAAACGGGGGTGACCTGACCACGTTTTACACGTTGCTCCTAAGAATTCAACTTCCGCGTTTTGAAATAGGTCAAAGGGTATCAGCCGGTTAACCCGGTGAGTTTTGTGAGGGTTTGATTGTGGCACACAAGCATCGCCCGTCCACAACGCAAAAACCTATATGGCAAAAACAGTTTCGCCCATGCCAACATTTCTCTAATATAAGCTCATATTACTAATGAGGGGCGGTCGGGTAGTTTAGTGGTTAAAGCGTTTGCTCATCACGCCGAAGACCCGGGCTCGATTCCCGACCTGGGTACAATGTAGTGAAGCCCATTTCTGGTGTCCCCCGCCGTGATATTGCTGGATACTAAAGCTAAATACGGCGTACAACCAAACTCACTCACTCACTCACTCAAACTACTAATGATCTCACATATTACAACCCAACTCCCCTAGTCACTGATTACAAGAGCACAATGTATGACCTCGCCACTGGACAAAGAATTTACTTTTGACAATAAGGTCATTTTAGATCTGAATATTAAAAGATGGACATGGTTAAGCGCCAGGCGTATGTTTTTATTACGCTGTGTTTAATACTGTTTATGAAGCCGAATTCAGATTCTACTCTCAAAATAGAGTCGACTTGATGTCAACAAATTTGTCCAGTTATAATCAAGTGAATGATGTGATGAAACATGCTCGTTGTGTGAGATGATGAAGTGAAGTTGTGGAATAACAACACATGTAGAGAGACATTGAAGGGTCGTGGTCACCAAGATACAGTGACGGCTAGGGGTAGCATCCGGGCTCCGCCCAGTTTTACAGTAAACTGTATTCTGTGTACAGTTAACTCATTAAACAATAAATTAATTCATGATACAAAACGACAGTTAACGATTAATTAATAACATTACTGGTTTATTCGGCATATTTAGGTGAGTACTATAAAACATAGTGAATGAGTAACCTTTTATCAACTGGTGTCGACATATCTGATATCCAAAGGCGCTGGGATGAGATTATCTATATGCATGTAATTAAATATATACATTTACGTTTAATGTTGGTACCTCTATAAATATGATACTTGAAATATGTCGTATTTTCCAAATTGCACAAAATCGATCAATTGCTCCTACTATATATCTAAACTAAAATGTAAATTAACACTCATCTTAATAAAAGTTATATAAATACATATTTAATAAATATTAAATATTAATACATAAATAAATATTAATAAATATTAAATATTTATACATAAATATTATTCATAAATGTTATTGGACAATATACACAATGTACACACTCTGACATTTGCATGTGCTCTATTTACATCACTTCACATTGAGGGACCTAATCAATATGTGTGAATCATATTCATTTGTTTGGTGTCAACCGATAGTTATATCACAGGGCATTATTGCAAAGGCCATACGCAACCACAGCACCAACTCGAAATTATGTCTTGCTGATAATATCATCGGTTCCAGGCTGGAAAGCTATTGATGTCGAAACAGAACTATTGCAGATAATATAAGTAATAATTCTTCAACTTCACATCTCTGTGATCCATTCGTGCCGTCTGCAAGAGAAAATACATATCAATGAATAAATACAATTGAGCCATGGAAGAGGAGTTGGGTTTAACGCCGCTTTGAACAGTATTCCAGTCATATCAGCTGAATGTGTGGGTGAGTGAGTTAATGTGTGAGTCACATTTATACAACTCATACATACATGCATTGGCATATCTATATACATATTCATACAGTATTCATTTTAAATTTACATTTCTTACTTCCATCTCCACCCTGTACGTCATTACATGTCACGCCTTCTGGTTGGTGCTCCAGACACATCGTGTGGCACTCCTCCCTACATCCACAGGGATGGAGACATCTCTTACAGCCAGTCCCACAATCTGAGTCACAACTGTTTCCATAGTAACCAGGTATACAACCAGAACACCACCCAACTCCTCGATCACATGTCTTGTTAAAACACGTGGCACTACATGTTCTAGTGCAGTCATTTCCTCAGTAGCCTTGCTTGCATCTGGAACATTCCCCAGTCTCTTGAGAACATGCCTCACAGTTACCAGGACACTTCAGCTTACAGTCGAGTGACATCCAGCCATCCACACAGCCCTGTCTGCAGACTGTAGACTTCATACTGTGGTCATAGAAACAGTCCTGGTCTCTACAGTGTCTGTTACACTGCTTATTGCAGTGATGTCCGTGAAGACCGTGTTTACAACCTCGGGTACACGTATGGCTCCCGTACTGTTCACATGTGTCACCTTGACATCCCCCTGGACACCTGGTGTCACAACTGTCACCGACCCAACCTTTCCTGCAGCCTCTAGAACACGAGCCGTCCCAGCCGTAGCATGAGTTGTCTTCACACCTATCACTGCACTTGTTGTCACACCTCGTTCCCCACCAGCCGCCTTGACAGTTTTCCAGACAGTTTCCTGTCTCCCGATCACAGTAGGGCTTATCACCATGACTGTGTCTACAGTTCGGAGGACATGTCTCTGTACACGTGGTGGCATGGTACCCAGCCCCCACACTGTATACATCTCCCTGTGTCCCCGTCACAGCCGCCGACGTCGCAGAAGCCGGAACATTTGTAGCTGCAACTGTCGCCATGCCAGCCTCTCTCACAAGCGAGGCACACCCCATATGATGATGGCCAAAGACAGTGACCATGAGGCAAAACGCCATTTACGATGAACACTGAAAGCGACATATCACAATTTAAAAGAGAACATCAATATCAGAGTAAATCCAGGAATCCAGAAGGTACAGGAATTAAACATAACTTACCTCCATATAATAGGAAGATGCTTGTCCTGAACATGTTTCTGTTTAGGTCCTATCCTGCAACAACAACCGCGAGAATATCCAACAGTGTGATGAGTACACATTCAGCACCTGTTCACATACAGTTAAGACCGCATTGATAGTGAGTTGTACAGCGGTAACCCTTTCTTTATACATATGTGCACCTAAGTTTGCGCGTTAAGTATTGATTTATGGATATCCGATGGGGTGTGGACTATGATAAGGCGCTGGGGCGCTTTTATTTACATTACACGTTCCGGTTGCATGTAATAGCTTCAATGACACAAGATAGATATAAGGTTACATATACGCAGCAGGGGACCAACCTCCTTCACAATACAACAAAAAGTATGCCATAACTCAAGAAGTTGTTAATGCAATAACTTGTGCAGAATGACAGAAATATGACAGACACTTGCTTTGTTAAAGTGAACAGCACTCGTAGGACGCTCGTCACATTCCAAGACGTATATGCAACATAATCAGATGAATTTTAATTTCTGTGTTTCATACCAAAATTGCTATGGTATGAAGCCCACAATGCAAATGAACCAATGGCCTGTTAGAATGTTTCCAGAAAATTTCCTGTGTTGTCTTTACATTCAGTTCAACGCTCATGAGATATGTTCCTTTCTTCAAAAATGAAATACTTGCACAAACAATGATATACTTAACTATGTCTATCTCTTCGTAAATGTGAAGAGAGAGAAGGGGAGATTTGGACTTGTTATGCTATTTAATACCAATTGTGTATGTTGAGGTTTAAGCGGTATGAGTTTCCGTATCGAATAATCTCACCTGATGATAATAATATCGCTGAATCTGAAATCGTGTTTATAAATCCATGAGGATAAAAACCATACGTCGATTGAGAGTGTCACGTGACGGAGTGCTGTTTTTGCATACAGACTGAGTGTATTGCGCAATGAAACCAACGAAGGGAAAATTAACGTATTGACTGACTGAGCGTTTTACATTCGCACCCTTAAAACACTCCCCTGTTATAAATCTATGTGCTTAAAGGACAGTGTTATACTGTTATGTGTGTTTTAGCAAAGAACGATGTGTATAGATATGAATATGCCTTCACAGCTGATAAGATTGACCGATTGCTTACTGCATAGCGTACTTGTTTTACTGCTATCGGGAAGCGTCAGGTGACCGGGAAAAATTAATTGTAGCTCAGGTTTTACAGTGACTAAATAAATAGTTAAGCCCTGGCGAAAACATTAACAATAAAAACAAATCTACCCAAGTATACATGTATCCAAGTACTCTGGTTACCTGATGTATGCCGATAGTGCAGTGTAGGTAACTATCATGATACTCTGGTTACCTGATGTATGCCGATAGTGCAGTTTAGGTAACTATCATGATACTCTGGTTACCTGATGTATGCCGATAGTGCAGTTTAGGTAACTATCACGATACTCTGGTTACCTGATGTACCCCGATAGTGCAGTGTAGGTAACTATCATGATACTCTGGTTACCTGATGTATGCCGATAGTGCAGTTTAGGTAACTATCACGATACTCTGGTTACCTGATGTATGCCGATAGTGCAGTTTAGGTAACTATCATGATACTCTGGTTACCTGATGTATGCCGATAGTGCAGTTTAGGTAACTATCATGATACTCTGGTTACCTGATGTATGCCGATAGTGCAGTGTAGGTAACTAATATGATACTCTGGTTACATGATGTATGCCGATAGTGCAGTTTAGGTAACTATCATGATACTCTGGTTACCTGATGTATGCCGATAGTGCAGTGTAGGTAACTATCATGATACTCTGGTTACCTGATGTACCCCGATAGTGCAGTTTAGGTAACTATCATGATACTCTGGTTACCTGATGTATGCCGATAGTGCAGTTTAGGTAACTATCATGATACTCTGGTTACCTGATGTATGCCGATAGTGCAGTGTAGGTAACTATCATGATACTCTGGTTACCTGATGTATGCCGATAGTGCAGTTTAGGTAACTATCACGATACTCTGGTTACCTGATATATCCCGATAGAGCAGTGTGGTAACTACGACGATACTCTGGTTACCTGATGTACCCCGATAGAGCAGTGTAGGTAATTATCACGATAACATGGGTACTGTGATACGTTGTGACACATCGAAATACATGTATCTAATCATAAGTCCGCGCTACATTAATATTTTCCCGGTCACTCGATCAGTATGCACTCGATTTTCATTCTCGGTTCTCAGCTGTCTGCAAGGCGGTAGAAGGCTAACAGTCGCATTAACATCTCATCCTACCGGGTACCCATTCACTGCTGGGTGAATATGAGGATATTTCCAACAGCGTCTCTTGCCTAAGGAGACTCCACATGTGCTACATCTGCTGCATCTGCTTATGTGTGGGGCAGGGATTAAGCCTTAGAAATTCCCAGGAGTCATTCTGCCGAACACAGCATGTATAAATAATTTATGAATAATACAGAAATGATGTTAAAGAAACTTTTAAATCGGCTTTCGTAAGTCATTTGAGTGGGATGGACATGATATACGTTGTCGTACCTTCCTATGAGTACTCATCGTCCTTTAGGAGCCGTTCCTATGGTATTGGGATAACGGTTCCTGGATTACACCCTTCCCGACAATGGTTCCTGGTATACATGAGACTAGGACAATGAGTAATGGGCGGATATTACAAGACTACGGCAACGTTCCAACAACGATATATCTCACTCACAAAGAAACATTTACTTTGACGGTGAATGGGAGAGGGCTTTCAAGGGGGCTTCACCTCGATTTAAAAGAAAAAAAACTTGTACTGTCAAACATCAAAGCTGATATGCCCTTTGACGTAGTTCGCGATGCTATTGTAGCATACGCCAAGAAACAAGATGTCCATGTGAGCATGGTCTGTCTCTTGAAACACTGGACCGGTACGTACCCAACATATACACTGCGGATCAACATTGACACTGGATCAGCACATAAAGTTCTTGAAAATGAACACTTTGGGCCAAAGAATGTAAAATGCCGCGAATGGGAGTCCTGCCCGCGGCGGGTTGGTGGAAATAAGTAACCATAAACATGTTTAGGTTGCTCCTAATACTGTTTATGCAGAACATCGGCACTTGGAATACCAGAGGTGCACTGTACAGTCGCCAGTACCTTGAAAACATAGCTAACAAATGTGATGTGTTAACTGTTTCTGAACACTGGTTGACCAACAGAACTGAGACATTTTTCGACTCGCTGAGTTCGTCATATGACGCCGTGGTAAAAATCAAAGAAGACCAGAGAGGCTACAGAGGCGAAGGTGGAGTTGCTATTTAAGTTAAAAAGGACTCGTTCAGTGATATACAGATTTACGTCCCTGGGTATGACGGAGTAGTTGCTGTAAGGCTATCTAGACCCAACTATGTTGACCTATCCGTGGTCTGTACACTCCTTCCATCTACCAATAAGGATGTGTGTGCCGATCAAGAACGATTGAAGGAAACATTCGACATTGTTGATGAACTCTCACAAACCAGTCATACTATCCTGTGCGGCGACTTCAACACTGACATAACCAATAGTCAAATCTCGCATCGATCACGCCTACTCAGAGAGTATCTCTCTGTGCGGAATATGGTATCTTCCTATGACAGCGGTAAAGTAGTAGGACAACTAATGACATGGAGGAACACACAATCTTCAGTAATTGACTTTGTATTTGTACCTCAACATCTACAACTATCTGTCAACAAGATACGTATATGATTCAACTCCTTTCGATGTGTCTCATCACTTCCCTGTTATAGTGTCCATACATGATGACAAGCCAAACAACACTACATGTAAAGCGGACATGCCGTCGACCCCATACAAATTGACAAAAGCTAGTCACTTAGAACTAAGTATGTATGAAGCCGAGGTTCACAGATTGCTTGGTGATGTAATGCTTGACACTGGGAATATAGGAGCTGATGTAATAGAGAGTTATTTTGACTCGATTGTCAGCGCACTAAAGACGTCTGCTGCTCAGTTCATACCACGTGGACACTATAGAGCTCACCTGAAACCGTACTGGAAGAGTTCAAATCTTGACCTCTATCATTACAAGATGCGCCAGGCGAAGAGATTGTGGTCAGCAGAAGACAGGCCCCGGGGTGCCGGTAACGACTCGTATACCCTATACAAACAGGCTAAATGTGACTTCCGACGTTGCAAAAGACAGGCTGAGAGACAATGGAATAAAGAAAAATATATTGAAATAAACTCAGCATGTGAAGTAGATATTGCTAAATTCTACAGGATTGTAAAGAAACAAAGACAATCTAAGACTGTAAATACACACCTCAAGTACAAAGAACGCTGTTGCAATACACCATCAGAGGTGTGCAACTTGTGGGCAGACGACTATGCAGATTTATTATCACCTCTTGACCGGCCGGAGTTTGACAGCGACTTTCGTGTTGAGACGGACTCTAGAATAAACAACATCTCAAAGATACCACTTCTGGACGATGATCCTATACTGAAGACAGACATAGAAATACACGAACTAAAACGACTGAAGCTTAAAAATGAGAAAATCACCAGGACCGGACCAAATCACAAATGAACATATCTATTTCGCTGGAGATTTGCTTCTAAAACACTTAACCCTGCTGTTTAACATGATGATACGAACATGCTACAGCCCTGCACTATTGAGATCTGGAACAATTATTCCAATATATAAAGGAAACAATAAGGACAGATCGGATCCTGCAAATTACAGAGGTATCACTCTGACGTCCGCGGTGGGAAAACTGTTCGAAAAGATCCTACTAGAGAGAATTGAGAGATATGTCAAATATATGGAGCCCGACTTCCCACATAGATTACAATGTGGCTTCAGGCGAGAACATGGTGCAAAC